AAAAAAAAAAGAAAAAAAGAAAGAAAACTGAACATCCTCAACCCTCAAAAGTCCCCTCCCAGTCACTCCACCTTAGAGGTACCTCCTCTACACCCTTGGTATCATCGTTGATTTTTGTTTCTTTTCACATTTTTCTACAAGCAGTCTCATATTATGTGCTCTTTTGAGTCTTTTACCAGTTTCTCTTCCTTTTTTCCTCTTTCTTCCTTGCTTTTTTAAAGCAATCAGGTCTTCTGTCCTGTAGTTTCCACCAGGCTAGGCCTAGCAGGTTGCATCTTTGTTAATATGATCTTCCATTCTCTGCACTTCTCGTAGATCAAAGGGTGGATTCTAGAGGTTTAATTTTCTGCTCTAAACCCTTCCATGGCTCCCCAATGCCTTCAGGACAAGAAAACCCAGACCCATCATCACAAGGCACCAGAATACCACCTACTATACTCGGGTCACTCCTGGGGCCTCCCCTCCACCCCTGCAGTTTGGCGGTTCCCTGTTTCATAACACCCTTCCTGTTTCAGGGGGAAGCTTTTGTAGCTGGCCAGCCCCCCTCCCAGAGGCCTTCCCTGAGCACCCTAGCCTCTTCCCCACCCCATCTAGTGGGGAAGGGGTATGTCTTGGTCACTGCTGTGTCCGCGGAGCCCAGCACACAGCCCAGTCTACAGTGAGCCTCTGTTGATGAATAGACCCTCAAGGGCAGAAAAGGGGTGGAAGCTGATGTAGTCCTATTTATAGAGACAAATAAATTAGGACTGAGGTGGAAAGGGGGCTCCCCAACCAGTTACAGGGACTGTCCTTGAATGGAGGACTGGTGGAAGGAAAGCTCCCCCATCCCTCCATCCCCGTGGTGTTGGTTTTAATCATCTTACCTCCAAAAAGAACACCCTTTCCCCCTTTCTCTCCACTAGCAAGGCCTCAGTTTCCATATGTCGGCCCACCCCTCTGGGCTTGCAGACAAATAGCTGCTGCCACTTGTGTGAAAAAGGCTCAAAGGGGGGGAACTAAATGAATAGTTCATTTAGGGAACTATTGGTCTCGAACTCCTGAGCAAAGGCAATCCTCGGCAGCATGTATCCAGCACAGAGATCATCGTCCAATCCCCGCCTCCTAGCCTCAGTTTCCCCGCCTGTTCCCTTTTCTCCTGGGTTAGATTTCCGGGTGTAGGGACCATGGCAGGCTTCTCACTGACCCCCCTGCCTCAGTTGCCCTGTCTATGCTCCCGGCGCTGGACTTCCTGTGTCCCGCCTGTTTCCCCTCCTATCTCTCCATGAGCTGGGTCCCTGGCTCAGTCCGGCCCGGGTTCGAAGCGCGGGGATCATGGCTGGACCTGCCCGGCGCGGCCGGCCTTCAGGCTCCGCCCCAGCCCGCCTCCGGGCGACCGTCACTTCCTGCTCGGCCTGGTGAAGGCCCTGCCGGGCGTCGAGGACTTCAGCTGCGTCCGAGCCATGGTGGCTCTTGAGAACCCGGAGGGCGGCCGGGAGGCAGCGAATGCGGAGAGCGCCCCGGGTGGGCTGCGGCTGCTGTGAGCGCGGGCGGGCGCCCCCAGGGCTTGGTCCTCTCCCCTGCTTCGCTTCTCCCCCCCTCCCCTCCCCTCCCCTCCATCTCCTCTCCTCCCCCTTCTCTCCCTTCCTCTCCTCTCCTTTCCTCTCCTCTCCTTTCCCTTCCTGGGGCTTCGGCCCAGGTCCTCGCCCCGCCCCTTTACTCGCTGGATATTTATAGTCACCCAGATATTTCCTGACCTGCATCTCTGGTAGTTGCTGGGAGACGAGGACACACCCCATTCCTGCCTCTATTTACCCCCAGGTCCCAAGGTCCCCGTTCCAGGGTGTTTGTCCCTTCTCCCTTTCGACCCAGCTCGGGTGTGAGGGTGCCCAGAGGCCCGGAAAGCTGCCGCTGATTTGGGTGTCCACCCACCTGCGGCCCTGGTCCTCCCGATCTGGACATTTACTCGCATGGCCCATCCTTTACGTACCGTCTGGGTTATCCGCCCCCGCCCCTACCACACCTTTCTGTGTAGACAGGGCTCTTTGTTTTCCTTTGGGTGATACCCAGATTAAGGTGGGAGGCGGAGCTAAAAACCCCAGGCAAACCGGAGCCGATCTGTCCTCTGAGTGGGACCTGGAAGCACTCGTTTGTGGGCGCTCACCCCGCGGGCACGGCCCTGGAGTGTAGTATACACAGACACCCCTGTGGCTCGCTAGTGGGGTCTGCGTGGCGTCCGGACGAGTCATTCTTTGTGGGGATGAGCCGGCGGCTCGCGTTCCATTTCTGCCTCCTTCGTGTGAAATGTAGGCAGAGTTTTTCGACCCTTCCGTGCCTCAGTTTCCCCGTTTGTACAATGTGATAATAACACTGCTCTCTTTTCAGAGTGGTTGAGGGTCAGTATTATCTGGCACTACCAGGTCCCCACAAAACAAGAACGTCCATTCTTTTTTTTTTTTTTTTTTTACAGTTTTTGGCTGGGGCCGGGTTTGAACCCACCACTTCCGGTATGTGGGGCTGGCGCCCCACTTCTTGAGCCACAGGCGCTACCCAAGAGCGTCCCTTTTTTAATTATTGTTTTAAATTATTATGTCTTAGTTATTTTAGTATTATTTTAAAATGATTTTATCATTGTATTTTCTTTTTTTTTTTT